AAGAAATTTTGCCTAGGTGATTATTTTCCTATTTGTGAAAACATTCCAATGAGAAAGCGATTGAGTCTTTTATCAGATGTGGCTATATTTATAGATGGGGCTGTTACACTTTCAGAGTTACAGCTCTGGAGACCAGAGGGAAGTGTGGTGTCTCTCCCATTCCGATGGGGGCCCCTAGATGTGGGGCGGCCCTATCAGGTGGGGACTGGTGGCACAGGGGGTGCAGACAGGGGGTGCAGAATTCTCTGGAGGCAGAACAAAGGAGCAAGAAGTTTATTGAATACACTACAAGGGTGAGGCAGGCAGGACCGCAAAGGAGAGACTGTCTGCCAGGAGGTGGTGGGTGGGGCTGCACTTAAAGGGGGAAGCTGAGGAGGTATGGGGATGTATGGAGTTTTCCATTTTTTGGTACCTGTGCCTGCTTGTAAGTAGCCCATTGGTTTGTTAGGGCTTATGGATATTTTGAGGTGGGTGGCCTGATGGGCCCGTTTGTATTCAGCCAGGTGGTCACTGTAGGCTCTTTTGCCTTGTTCTACATTTCATTGCTCCAGCCTCTACAGAAAGCTAGAAAGAACACACATAGATTTTAGCAGTAAGGATGCCCCAGCGGTGTAAAGAGGAGGTAGCAGAAGAGAATTGTGAGGACAGTAGGCGGGTGAGAGGCAACAGCTTTTTGGGGGCCTGGCCAGGTAACTAATCCCCACAGTGAGAGAATTCAGGTGTCCAGGTGACAGTCTGGTAGAAAGGGCAGATGCCAGGGTGTCAGGGCAGAACTCTAGAACGAAATATCTAGAACTAGATCACTCAGAGGGGAAAAAATCCAGAATGGGAAAGGAAAGGATGGTGATAACATGCTTTTTTAAATATACAGCCAATGGGAGGATTTCCTCCCACGCACACTCCCTGATTTGTGGGTGATACCCAGACTCAAATCTGCGGGCAGCATCAATACTTAGTTCATAAACCCATCATTCCTCAATTTTCTGTGATCGGTCCAATTTCTGACACTCAGTCCCATTGCTGAACACTATACTACTTGTGCTTTAGAAAAGCATGATCTCTGTGTCCATACAATGTCCTCTGCCATAGGGTGTGCAAAACCCTGTATGCGCAAATTAAATAGGGACTCTCCTCCCTTGTCCCTTCCTGTGATCTTGCTTGTCATCTTGACTTTCCTATTTAATTGCTTCCCAATCCATCTTATCACCAGAGCCAGAAACCTGAGAAAATTATGTTATCTATTGCTGCATACAAATCACCCCAAACTTAATAGCTTAAAAGAACAAACATTTATTATCTCACACGGTTTCTGAGGGTTAAGAATCCAGGAACAGTTTAACTGGGTGGTTCTCGCTCAGGATCTCCTATAAGGTTGCAGTCAGCTATCTCTCAGGGCCACGGGCATCTCAAGGCTTGACTGCAGCTGGAAGATTCTCTTCCAAATCCATTTGCGTGGTTGTCGACAGGCCTCAGGTCCTCACTGACTGTGGGCCAGAGGTCTCTCTTTCTAGCACATGGGCTCCTTCGTAGCCTGTTTGAGTACTGTCTTGACATGGCAGCTGGATTCATCCCAGAGCAAGTGATAGAAGAACCCCTAAAATGAAAGGCACAGATTTTTAAATTCTCTGTTCTCAGAAGCGACTTCTCTTCTGCCATATCCTATTGGTCACACAGACCATCCCTGGTACAGTGTGCGAGCGTACTCCATAAGGATATGGATACCAGGAGGCAGGGGGCATTGGGGGCCAACTTAGAGGCCAGCTGCCTCAGAGAGGCTTTCCTTCTCCCTCTCCTTCAGCAATGCACTAAGTCCATCTGATTCTTCCTCTGCTGTGTTTCTCAGATATGACCTCTATCTTAAGTCTGATTGTGGAGGTGTGGAGGCTGATGGGGGAAGCCTTGGGGACCACATACCTAAGGACACAGGCTGAATGAAACTTTATATACAGGGAGAAGGAGAGCAAACCTGTTGGCAAGCCATCCTTTCAGGGAGGATTCATTCCCTCTGCAGGAAAGGGGAATATCTGTAACACCAGTCACCCTACAGAAACCAGGTGCTGAGCACAACAGCAAGAGAGCACAGGTGCTTTCAGACTTGACCTAATGTGGAAATGTTGGGGTTCAGAGCCAATGGCCAAGAAAGAATTCTGGAGACCTCTTTGGTGCAAAAAGGTGGTCTAATTAAAGTATGGGTACAGGGAGCATCTGCGTGGAGCAGTTGGTTAAGTGTCCGACTCTTGGTTTAGCCCAGGTCTGATTTCAGGGTCGTGGGATCAAGCCCTGCGTCAGAGCTCAGTGTGGAGTCTGTTTGAGTTTCTCTCCCTCTCCCTCACCCCACCCTCAAATAAATAAATTAATTAAAAAAATAAATGAAGCATAGAGACAAGACCCTGGGCAGAAAGTGCTGCACTTGGGTAGTAAGGAACGGCTGATTATATACTTGGTGTTGGGGTAATTAAAGACAAAGGGAAGTTTCCAAAAGGACTTTCTTATGCTAGAGAAGACTCACAGGATCCTGGAGGCCTAGCTGTTGTCAAGCTAAGGTTGGTTTTCCCTCTAGCAAAGCATTAAGACCCTTGGGAGTTTCTGGAGGAATGTCATTCTCTGCCTGTCTCAAGTATTTGTCAATGGGCTGCAGGTTATAAGGACATTTAATTTTATTTACATTTCCTTCTGTCTTTGTTCCCCACATCACTGGGACTTAAGACCATGATATGAGGTCAGCTCCCCTTTTTACCTAAGGTAGAGAAAGTCTTAGGAAATCTCTATCTAGGCAAGCGTCTGCAACTTCCTTGTAAGTCTCACAAATAGTTTAACTCCACGAGTCTACTTAGATCGGAAGTGGCTACTTCCGATAGATTGGAAGTAGAGCCTTTAACTGAGAAAAGTTGGGGGATCCATCCTGCTTCAGTGAGAAAGAAAGCCTCGATTCTCAGTATCTACCATTGTCAGAGGAAGCAGGAGTTACACCTGCCATTTGGCCAGTAGGAATACACCCTGTTTCCACTGATGATACTTTTCCTCCTTGAGATCCTTCTCTAAGATGGGCTTTTGGGGATAAAGCAAAACACTTAATAGTTAGAATTTTCAGAAGTAGGCGTACCTTAATTACTTGAGCTGCGACAGCACCCCTCCCATCATGCACCCACCACTAGCAGCCCCACCTGGGAGGAATCAACCCTAGTAGGCTTCCTCATTGGGTTCTTCAACAGCCTGAGGCTGCACGTTTAACCAAGATTAAGTCAATTGACCAAGGGCCCAAGGGGACTAAGGTGGGAGTTGAGAACTCATTGGTGGGAGATTCTGGGTCTTCTATGAAAATTTACTTTTGTTCTTAGATTTATAGTCTTGGGATCAGAATGATAGGTTTATGGCCCAGAATAGAGGTCAGCTCTCTGCCTCCCATCCGCATTTGACATGTGACTCATAGAGGTCAAGTCATTTAAAAAGTTGGCCAGGACTACAGTCTCCTGAATCTCTAATCTTTCCCTGCCCTGTATTAGACCTGCGAGTTATCATAGCATGTACAGTGCTAGGATAGGTAGACTGCAACAGCCTGTTTGCTCTGAGGTCCAATTTCTGCTTTTGTTGTGATCTCTGGATGACAAGGAACCTCATTTCCCAGGCTCCCCTGTCTTCTGCTTCCTACTAAGTTTGGCCCATGTAGGGCAGTGGGGGAAAATTTGAGAGCAAGAGTTGGTGAGAAACAAGGTATTTCTTTCCCCCTCCCTATTTCCTTTGGCATCTCCAGCAGTGACTTAGTCTTCTCTGGTCCCAGCACCCATTGGACAGTTCCCACTGTGACTCTGGCTTCTGCCAGAGGACCCATAGCAGCTACTTACCACTGGGCTGATCCCAGGGTTGCCTCACTTTCCCCCGTTTGGCTTCTCAGCTCTTCTATCACTTGGATCGCCAGCCCCCTAAATCACCTCTGTTTGTTAAGATCCAGACTGGTGTGTCTTTTCCTTACTGGGCCCTGACGGAATAGGACCAGCATTCTGTGTGTTCCTGCACGTTTTAGGAACACAGTAAATGTTCAGTCATAATGATGCTAATGAAAAAGGAAAACCAGTTTACCCAGGAGAGGTAGTGCTGTGCTCTATTCATTTACTCTATAAATCAAGCTGATTAAAACTACATCATATTTGTCATAATTCCTGAAAAGCAAAAAGTGGAGACATTTTCTTAAGACATTTTCCTGAAGGTCACCCTTGTGCTTTCAACTCTATGGTGTCAAAAGAATGGGTTCTTTTGATCTCATAGATCTTTGCCGTCGCTGTCCTCTGACTTAATCACGGAAAGGATCATTCTCGGTATGGGTGGGTTTGTAGTTTTTAGTTGTAGCAGAATGAGCCCTAACATCATACCATTTGGTTTCCTACACTCGGTTTGTAATGACTCTACACTTGGCCTTCCCATCACAAGCCCGGTTGTTGTGACCTACAGTCCTGTTTATATGCCCAACCCCTGTTCTTGGCCTCCACACAAGGTTTCCCACAAGGGTTCCATTTGAGATGGTGGTTTCCAAGATTGGGGGTATCTGCCCGCCAGCAACTGGATTTGAGACCACCAGCTTGTTTTTCCAAGCATTAATATGTCGGTGATCTCCAAACATATTTTCTTTTCCAGAATGTTTTCCAAAAGGTTTGTAAGAATGTCTCTCAAACTTCTTTTCTTTTGAAGGTATAAGGGCCTAAGGGGAGGGGCAAGGGTAGTATAAATTTTAAATTTAAAGCTTTATCCAAAAAAATATTTTCCCTTTAAAAAAAAAACCCGTCTTTACATATTTAAGTAATTCATTTGGGAGAAATTACTACTCAGCTATTCACATAGCCAGCCCTTGGCAGTTTCAGTTCAAAATGCTTTGAAACCAGTCAACTACAAAGCCTCAAATGTTTTCTCTTTGAAAGCTCAACTTAACCTTCACTACCATGGTGGTGAGAAAAGTGACAACTCATTTAAAGATTCCCCCCTTTTGTTTCTTTGTCTTTCTTATGCAGGCCATGTGTTTATACTATGGGATCTCCCATAAACAACAGGGCCCTTTTTCCATGCCAGGAGCCACCCGTTGCCATGTCAACATGGCAGGCTACAGTTCGAGCAGCTGCATCTTTTGTTGTTTTAATGAGTGGGGAAAATTCTGCCAAGCCAACACAGCTTCGGGAAGGTACTGTACATGTGTTCTGTGCTTCTTTCTGTAGTGCACACATGCTGGACCCAGGGATCCAGTATGCAATGTTTTTCTCAACTTTAAAGAGCTCCTTTATGAGTTGGGTTGGAATGAACATACTAAAAACATTTTGCCAGAGAAAATAGCAGGGGATGGGGAGGGGTACTTGGGAGTTGGGACATGGGATTGGGGGCTCTTCATGCCAGAGTTATCAATTCCTAGATTATTTTAGTAGTTGCTTTCACCTGGTGGTTTGTGGGCCTTAAGTGGGTGGTCCTGGTTGAAGACTTTGGGGCAGGCAAGTGTGTCATGGAAACACCATTCATTACAGTTAACTTGCCTGTAGTTCAGTAAGGTTATTCATTATCCCAGGCGAAAGAGCTCCTTCCTGTTGGCTGGCCCCCTGGAGTTGTCCTGCTAAGGCATCTGCTCTGCACACTGTTTGCCCATTTGGCTCTGAACCAAAGGTGTGTAAGAAAGATGGAAGGCAAGTGCTAATGCATCAAGGTTTTGTCTGCGAATCACTTGCTTATTGCAGTAATTAACTTTTTCAGTTGCGATCCAGAGTGTGTTAACTCCAGGTAAAATTTTTCTAATTTTCTTGTATGAGCATATCAGATTTTATGTAATGTTTCCATATTATTAGACATTCTTATTGTTTCCAGGTTTTTTTTTCTTATTATATTGCATTAAACCCCTGAGGAGATAGTTTGTATAAAATGAGAATTATTGAGTCAAAGGTTTTGAACATGTTTAAGGTTGTTGGTACATTTTTCAAGTTCTTTTCCAGAAAGGTACCAATTTACACTCCCATGAGTAGTTATGAGGGTCCCAGTTACCGAGAGCATCACCTGTCTGTTCAACAAGAGAAGTTCTCTCTTTAATTGGATTATTTCAATGATCAATGAGGTTCCACTTGTCCTCCGACGTTTCTTAACCATTGTCATTAACTCTTTACTTATTTTGCCCGTTTTTATTCTGAGGCCTTAGTGAGGCTTTCAGAAGTTTGTTTCATCTTTTAATTTGAATGGCTCTTAAAAAAAATAAAGATATTGGAGCTTCCAGGTTGCTAAATGTGAAGATGCTGGGAGAAAGCATGGAAGCTCCAAGCACCTCCCCACATACCTTCTCCTCTGCATCTCTTCCCTCTCGCTGTTCCTGAGTTGACTGTCCACTCTTCCTCAAAGGCAGCAGAAAAGTGCACTGGCAAATGGTTTCTTTTGGTCTTCATTTCCTTCCGGGGGCTCCTCTTGTCACAGACTTACATTAAGTAAATCTGTAAGCTAGTCTCCTATATAAAAGAATAAAATAAAATAAAGATATTAATCTCTTATGATGTTTGTGGAAAGTATTGTTCCCAGTTTATAGTATGCCTTTTAATTTCATATAATGTTTTTGATTTATAGGAGATTTTAATTTTTATGTAGTGAAACCTGTCAAGTTTCTCTTAGAAAGTCTTTTGCTGTTCTGAGATTCACCTGTTTTGTTCTAATATTTTTAAGTTTTAGTTTAATTCTTGTAATATAACTCTCTAATCTCTTGGCAGTTTATTTGGTCAGAGTTGTGAAATGAGAATTAAATTTTTTTTTCCCAAATAGGAAACCATTTGCTCCAAGATCATTTATTAGATCTTTGCTAACTTGTAAAATCTCCTTTTTTTAAATTAAGTTTTTTATTTTAATTCCAGTATGGTTAACATACACTGTTACATTAATTTCAGGCGTACAATCTAGTGATTCAGCAATTCTATACATTATTGAGTGCTCATCATGATAAGTATACTCTTTTGATTTGTGATATCTCCTTTATTAGAAAGTAGATTTATGCATGTACTGGAGTCTTCAGTAAGTGTTAACTTGATTCTCCAAGTCAAGACAAAACAAAACAAATAATACATTTAAAAATGTTATTTTTTAAAAAATGGGTCGCAAATACATGGCTTCTTTACAAATGAGCAAAGGACAAGAAAATTGTAATAAAGTCTTCTTTTTGCTCCTAATTTCCAGCTACGCAGGAACTACCCCCTAAGGCAATCAAGGTGACCAATTTCTTTTGTGTATGGTATAATTTTTCCTTTTTTGTTGCACAAATCATAACATGCTATACGCATTGTTTTTGTATTTTGCTTTTTCCTTTAGAATAAATTTATCTTATAGCTAATTTCATATCTGAACATAATAAAGAGCTTCCTCATTATTTTTATGACTACAGAGTATTCCATAAATGGCTGTTTCACAATTTAGTTAACCAATAGCTCTTGACTTGGGTCTAAATCAAATAATAAACTTAATGGGCATTTACTTCTCTCATCTTCCCTCACTCACATTCCCCGGTTTTAATTAATACAGTTTGTAGCTTGGGACTGATATTATCTTTATACTTTGTTTTTGTCTTATATCTTCTCTTCTAGGAATTACAATTCCTGTTTTATATTTTTGTTCAGTTTCAAAACATATTTGTAGTAAGTATTTAGACTTTCTTTACTTTTGAGCCCTTAAGTTTGAATTATCTCTCAGCTGGGAAATGACATATATATATATATATATTATTATATATATGTATTTTTAGGGGGGGGAAGGGGCAGAGCCCAACATGGGGTTTGATCTCACAACTCTGAAATCATGACCTGAGCCAATATCAAGAGTTAGATGCTCAACCGACTGAGCCATCAAGGTGCCCCAATATTTTTTTTCTGGAAGGGTGGATATGTGGTATATTTTCTGAGCCCTCCCATATTTAGGTTGGCTTTTTGTTGTATTCAGTTATGAACAATCCTTGGCTAGGTATAAAATTCTTAAGACTTTTTTTCCCTCTTAAACATTTTCATTATCATCCCTTAGAATTTCTGAGGAGAAATCTGATATCATTTTTTTTAAAGATTTTATTTATTTATTTGAGAGAGCAACAATGAGAGATGGAGAGAGAGCACATGAGAGGGGGGAGGGTCAGAGGGAGAAGCAGACACCCTGCCGAGCAGGGAGTCCGATGCAGGACTTGGTCCCGGGACTCCAGGATCATGACTTGAGCCGAAGGCAGTCCCTTAACCAACTGAGCCACCCAGGCACCCCATGATATCATTTTTTTTTTTATTCTTTGAAAGTAGTCTGATTTTCCTGCCTAGAGACTCATAGAATTTTTTTTATTTATGTAATTCAAAACTTCCTAGAATGTAGCTAGTTGTGGGTACCATTTTTTAAAAATCAACTTTATTAAAGTATAACTTACATATAATAAAATGCACACAGTTTAAGTCTTGTTCATGAGGTTTAACAAATATATATACATATGTAATTAATCAGCATCCCTATGAAGATGTAGACTATGTTTGGTACCCTGGAAATTCCCTGTGCCTCTGCCATCTGTTCCTAACCCCATACTAGTCAACCACTGATCTGAATTCTGTATCTGTAGTTTACTTATACCTCTCCTGTGGATTCATATAAATGGAGTTATTCTGTGTGTACTTTTTTGTGTCAGGCTTCTTTGGCTCTATATGTTTGTGACGTGCATCCATATTGTTATAGGTGGCAATAGTTTATTCTCTTTTAAAGAAATTGATGGGGGCATCTAGCTGGATCAGCATGTGACTCTGATTTCAAGGTTTTAAGTTTGAGCCCCATGTTGGGGTAGAGTTTACTTAAATTTTTTTTTTAATAAAGAAATTGATGAATAGTCACCAGTTATATGAGTAAACTGCAGGTTTTTTGTTTTGTTTTGTTTTTTTAATTTGCTCACCTCCTGAGAGACATTTGAATTGTTTTTGGCCATCACAAAAAAATATGCAGTGGATATTCATGTATAAGCCTTTTTGTGGATATAGATTTTCATTTCTCTTGGGTAAATACCCAAGAGTGCAATTGCTGGATCATATATATATATTTTAACTTTGTAAGTATCTGCCAAACTGGTTCCAAAGTGACTGAATCATTTTATATTCCACTAGCAATGTAGGAGAGTCTAGCTGCTGTGCATCCTTGCAAACACTTGGTGTTGTCAGTCCTTTTAATTTTGGCCCTCCAGCTGGGTGTAAAATACTATCTCCGTGTGGTTTTAGTTTACATTTCTCTGATGACTAGTGATGGTGAGCAACTTTTCATGTACTTACTGTACATTCTTATATCTTCCTTTAAAAAACATCTCTTCAAGCCACTTACTCATTTACTTAATGTGGGTTTTTAGGTTGTTTTATTATTAGATTGTAGGACTACTTTATATACTCCAGATACAAGCCCTTTGTCAGATGTGTATATTGCAAATATATTCCAGTCTGTATGGCTTGCCTTTTCTTTTCTTTAATTTTCTTTTTTTTTTTAAGATTTTTATTTATTTGAGAGAGCGAGTGAGTGAGAGAGCAGGAGCAGTGGGGAGAGGCAGAGGGAGAGGGAGAAGCAGACTCCCTGCTGAGCAGGGAGCCTGATGTGGGGTTCGCGGGGCTTGTTCCCAGGACTCGGGGGTCATGACCTGAGCTGAAGGCAGATGCCCAATCAACAGAGCCTCGCAGGCGCCCCTTGCCTTTTCATGTTTTACTTATACTCTGTAACACTGATTTTCTATAGAGACATTTTGTTCTTTAGTAATTACATTACAGATTTAAGTTGTTACTATAACAGTATCTTGCAATCCTTCCTCATATTTTTTATCTTGTTACTTTGTTGTCTTTTGGTCTTACTCTGTTACACTGTCTCAGCCTGTTGTCTCCTCATGGCTTTTTACTACTTTTTCATAGAAGTTATGTCGTGTATCATAATGGGAATGCCAATTTCCTAAGCTTGTTTTCCTTTCTGTAGTAAATTGATTTCTGAGGCTTTGTTCTTCCTCTGAGTCCTTAGAACAATGTTTTCTTTGACCTTTATTTTGAGTATTTTTTCTTATAGTGCTCATGGCTTCCCTCTCTGGTATGTACCAACAGAGAGGAGAAAGTCTGTGGATTTCCCTTCATTCCATTCACTGTCCGCTTGTGTGGTGCCTGAAACCCTCCGTTCATCACATGAGAGGTT